AATCATCCAGTGTGAAGATGGAAATTTTAAAGAGTGATGCTCATAATTTGACAGACAGATGACGCACTATTATGCACAGGATTTTTTTGCTTTGTGATTTCCCATCTCCACTAAAACTAAAAAGATAAGTGTCTGAGTCTTGGAATGGATAGCAATGGAGGTCTACAATTTCCTTCCAGGAAGACTCTCAAGAGTGAAGAAATTAGGCTTTTAGGTTGGTGTGCAGCAAGTATTTCTGAGTTAAAGGGATAAACTCAAGAATTGAGCTCTGAGAGTCTCAGATAAAGCAAGCCTAAAGATGAAATCACATGTTCTGATAATATAGAGAGGTCAGAGAGAGAAAAAGAAAGAGAAGAAACCCCAAAGTCTGGTATAGTAAATTGAAGCTCATGATGATACGCCTAAATAAAGCTAGAGTCACACACACAGCACTGACTTTGCCAAAACACTGGAGACAGTCTGCCCAAAACCTACAGGCAGAGGTAAAAGACAGGAATGAGGCAAGCAGGGGCAAGAGGAGGAATGTCCAAGCCCCTCCAGCAGCCTCAGAGATACATGGAGACATCAAATCTTGTCTTACCTACATCTCTGAGGTGGTCCCTCTATGATGATGCAAAGCTATCAGAATTTATGCAAAGTAGATGGAATCACCAAAGTCTTCTCTGACACAATCAGCTCCACCATGGCACCTGAATATCTTAAGGTCTGTATATTTTTAATGGCATTCTATTTCTTTTCCCATTCATGTATAAGAAGGAAAAAGGATCCTTGTTGCAGAATGATCMGTTAGACTTCAGGGTCATAGGGATTGGTGTGAGAGGTAGGGTTTGTACATATCCCYAAATAATAAAGCATATGCGTTCACTCCCTTTTTAGGGACATTAAGAAAATGTCCATATTATGGAGGAGTTAGCCTTTGAGAGAAGGAAGAGTTGACAAAAAGAGTGGGAAAATTGGTACTCATTAATGTAGGTTTACTCTATTTATTCACACAATAGCCACATTGAGTTAATATGAGCTTATTACATTTACTCATTCATTCGTTTATTCATACTGTACATCACTTGAAACATATGAAGGGACTGGGAATAGTCACAGGGCAGGGTCACAATCAGACAAGGTTAAAGCAAACCATTGTCCATGCTTCCATTTCAGCAAACACCTGAGATCAACACAGACAGCATTACCTGTTTCCAGTACTGCACGCCTCAGAGGTTACTGTCAGCCTCCTGTGACTGGAACCATGGGAAGAGGTGATTTCCTCCAGGAATTCTCTAGAAAGCGTCCTTGTTTTTGTTAGCAGAGTTCCAGGTCAACCTGGAGTTCAATCTACCCTGATGGCTGCCAAATCTTGGTCTTTTGCATTTTAAAGATAAACTCTAAGCTAAAACCTTTTTTATTAAATATATTTAAGTACAGTCTTGCCAGCAATGTCCTCCATTCAAACAAAGACCTTGCTTTGCCCACACTCTGATAGGTTTGATGATAGGAGCAAAGGAGGAATTCATGGTGTGTGATTCTTAAAAGAATTTGGAAAGTAAGAAAAGGAAGATTTAGAGTGAGTAATGATAAATATGCCTCAAAACTGCCCTGTGCTATGGCCAGTTGTTTTTTCCCTATCTTAGGAGATCAGTTTTCTTTCTCATGCTCTTCTCTCCATTAAATACTGTCCCCTGATCCCTTGGAAGCAGCCATTTCCCAGAATAACACTGTGGTAGATGAACAGAAAAAAAAAGTAACTGATGTCATTCATTATTTTATCAGAGTTATTTTTCAAAGGACAGGTATCCTAAAATAGAGTTACTGAAAAGTTTACAAACTTACATTCAGACTTCACTTGGGCTTAATTCAGTATGTCCCTCCAAAGGGTGGGGTAAAGCTATGTTTTAAAATGTGAGCAATGCACACTCTGATTTCTGTTGAAATGACAGCAGGAGACAAGGTTGAGGGGTGAGAAGAAAGCCCCTCCCTCTCAAATCCAGGCTGCAAATCCATCTTATTTCCTCTGTACTCACAGATAACAATCTGGTAAGTGCAAAGACTTACATCCCTATTACGGAGACATCCGAGTTTGTGCTACATAGACTGAGCTATGAATTCTAAGAGTCAATGAGAAGAGGGATTTAGAAGTTCTAATCACTTCTACCCATTTTCTCTGTTAATTTAGTCTTCTCAAAATATTCCACCCAAGTGACAGTAATGCCAGCAATGGAATAGACAAGATAAGCAATTAAAAGGAAATGTCTTTGAAATTTTCCTTTTTTTTTTAACCTTAAAGAGCCATGCTTGTTTGCATTCTGATGCATAATATATTAGTTTGGTTTCAATTTAAGGTTTTATTCCAAGTCAACAATTAAAATTGACTTCAGGAAATATGTATCACATCTATTTCATGACTCCACATAACCTTGGATACATTTTGATRTATTTATGCACTAAAGGTCTTTGATCAGTTTGAAGGACTGAGATTGTTTTTTTCCCCTTCCTCTAATCAACCACTGTCCAGCCAGTGGAGACTATACCACTTCTCTGATGCTCTCAACAGAATTAACTATCTTACCATGTTGAATGTTTCTCAAGAGATTTTTTTGTTTTTCAATGTGATTTCCAACATCTAATCTTGACTATCTACCCTGCATTCAAATCGGGTACAGTCTGAACTGTGGTCAAATTCAGCTAACATATCTGTGCTGGCATATTTTCTTCTCAACGTTGTCTAGAAAATATTGTGTCAGGTTCAGGAAACCTGCTGTCATCTGTGTCACCGTCTCCCCAGGAGTGGGAATCCTGAAACTTATCTTTGATGACTTTCYATGGCTGATCACATAGAGAGTGTGGAAGTGACTCTATAAGGAAGTGTGGGTGGCACAGCAAAAGCAAGTCCTGTCATCTGATCAAATCACCCCTGGGTCCTCTGTTCTCCAAGTCAGTCTCTGAAGCCAGAGAGGCTACACTGGGACTGTCCACCTTCATCTCAGCTTGACTCTGGTTTCCTTCTGAAACCCAGTATAAAAGGAGTGGATAAAGCTTTCCACAGAGATGCTATACAAATATATATATATATATATATATATATATATATATATATATATATATATATATTAAAGAAGCTAGGCACAAATGACTATGTTTATATGAACTACCCACAAAAGGCCAATTTATAAAAATAAACCACACCAGTAGTTGACTAGGGCTAGGAGCAGGGACTAACTACAAATGAGCACAACAGAAAATCAGAGGGGTGAGGGTGACTTTCTAACACAATTGTGGTTATGTTTGGACAACTCTGTACGTGGTAGGCTTATGACGGGTGAATATTGTGGTATAAAAACTGTACCTCAAAGCTTCAAAAAACAAAAMAAAATCCTCCAAAAATAGAAAACTCAGACTTTGCAGAGAAAGTATGTTTCAGTTAGGCTTTTAATGATCTAATTATAATGAGAAATTTCAGGCTAATTAGAAATATTTAAACACAGCAAAATAAGACAATGCTGAAAATAACCACAAGTAATGCCAACACATGCATAAGGCACTCTAGGAAAGGTTGCTTATACAGATTTTGAAATTTTTTTCTTTTTCTTTTGTTAATTTATATGGAACATTTGCCCATAAAATAGAATTGGGCTTCCATAGTTTGTCATTCTGATAACAGATCTTCTACCAAAAAAAGAACTTTGAACTAGCACCTGTGAAAGCTCTAATAGGAATCAACAAGGTAAATGAAATATAGGAGTTGGAATATTTTCTTTTTTCCCCTCTCTACTTTTGTTCCTCCAAAAGGACCACAGCAAAGAAAGAACAACAACAAAAAGATGAGCTAATACTGAGAATTCTGTGCACTATATGTCCACTTAAGATGATTTTTCTCTTCCTATGCACAATGAGACTACATTTCCCAGCTTCCTTTACAACAAATGAGAATATAATGGACAGAAGGATGTATGTCACTTCTGGGCAAAGCACTTACTCACATTGCTACCCAGGCTCTCTCTTTCCTATGGATTCAGCAGGGAATAAAAATCTCCAAGGGGGTGGACCCACCTCATGGAAGGGCCCTGAATCCCTGAGTCACTTTTGAAGGAATCTATTTGTTGGAGTGTTACAGCTGGCATGAGACTGCCTTAACAACTCTCTAACTGCTCTAACTTTCTGTCTTTTGTTGAGACATTGGGATTTTGTGGTTGCTTGTTGGAGCAGTGAGTAGTAATGAGCCTGACTGCTACATGCTAACACTCAAGCATGTTCTTTACTTTTCTCCTTGTCTGGTCTAGGCCTGTTCTTCCCTCATTCCTCTTTCCTGTTTATCTTCCTCTTCCCCTTTCTCATCAACTCTGGTTAACATTCATTTCTGGGCAGAGGAAGAAATAACATGAATAGTTTCCAGATTATATCTTACAGGAGCCTTCTTCAAKAACCAGGACATCTGGATGGCAGTCAGCAATTCCTCCTTATTAGTAGAGCAAGTCTCAAGCCTTTGGTTCAAATATCACACCAAGGGCAGTTGTTTTGCCCACCCACATAAGAAACCCCCGGTAGCCCCATATGCCAGGAAGGAGATGTCAGAGTTGGCAGCCACTTCTGGGTCATGAACTCTGCTTTTATCACCTGAAGTTTTTGGTAGTGGAGAAGTGCATGTTGGTTGCTCTAAGACTTTCTGTTCACCCCAGGGRGTGATTTCCCAGAGACAACACATTRCCATTTCAAGTCATTTTCCAGTSATTTCATTATCCATGGGCCCTTTTCTCCTTTTCTGCATGTAGATCAAATGCAAGAAAAGAAGAGGGGACCTACCCCGATTCAGAAACCACATCCCAGTCATACTCAGCCCTTACCATCAGCCCAGCCCTCCATCTTGTCAATCCCAGTTCCCCCCAACTCCATTGTCAAAAAATAAAATAATTCAAAGAAAAAACAGCTCATAAAATAGTAAACAAAATAAAGTCAGTTTTTTTTCTATTTTTTTTTTTAAAGAACAAAATGAAACTTGAGGGAAAACTTACTGGAGTTACAGTTTATCCTGATACAGTCTAGATGGGGAAAAATAAATGAAAGATGAAATTGCATCCTTCAAGGTAACAGCTGCAGACATCCAAAAACAATCAGTCCACCCTTCCGGGGACAGACACACGCAAGAAATGTGGCCATTTTATATATACACAGTATGTACAAGTTTAAGGGTGGGTGTATATGTACAGTATATTATTTAGTAAAGTTGGATACATATATATATACACACACACACATATATATATATACACATATGTATAGAGATATATACTGGTATACATATATATCCACAATAGACACCAAGCATGTTTATTTTTTTCCAAAAGCCTATTCATTTATAGAAATTATTCCAAACCTGCACTTTGAAATATTAATTTGTTAAACTTGGAAAATTAGGCAAAATTTCCCCCACCAAATGCAAATTATATTCTATTTCCCCCTACAATTTACATTCTTAAAATTTAACTTTAGAAGTAGCATGAATGCCATTTTGATTATTCGTGTTCCAAAGAGACATCTCATCAGTCTGACACATTGTATCGTTTTTTAAAAAAATCAGTCCTTGAATTTTCTCAGTGCAGTATTTAACCCTTTCTCTTTATCTAAAAACAAATGYCCTCCACCCTCTCCTTAGGTCCCGAATGCTACAGAAATTTGTAAAGGCAGACTTGCCATCACCCTTAGAGGCAAGGAAAGGGTTAACACCACCTGGTCATGTCCTGTCATAAAATGGCCACTTGCAAACAGCTAACCGCACAAACACCCATCCCAGATTTTAGAGAGGTGGGGTCATTGGGTACAGGGCAAGAGGAGTTGTAGGATATTGTCATAATCAATTTGGCTTTTCTGATCACTGCTGCTTCAAAGGCTTCCAGACCAACCCACTCACAAAGCCCATCTCTGTCTTCCGGCCTGAATGCCCAGGCGAAATCAGAGGCCTTCAGCATTCAGGGGGAAGGCAGGGCAGGCTTGTGTGGAGGAGGTCCTGGGCACCTTTGACATCCTGCCTATTTCACTCTCTGCATCTTGAGGAGAGAAAATTCTTTAGTTTTGGTTTTGTTTTTTTTTGTTGTTGTTGTTGTTGTTTTTTCTAATGGGAAAGAAAGGGGAAAAAAATCAAATTGTCCTGATAACCAGAAAGGAATTGTGTGCCAAGTGATCAGAGTGTTCATCATTTTATTAATCTCTACTTAAGAATCACAGGCACACTCACTCCATAAAAATTCCTGAGTCGAGTCAGTGGGTATTGGTAGGGGCTCGGGCAGAAATGGCTGGAGAAATAGCTTGTTGCCAGGTAACAGCTGTCAGACTGGACGGAAGTTTGGTTTATGCTGTTGGAAATTTCAGTGATAATTTGTGTGAAGCCAAACATTAAAAGGTAGAAATTAAATGATAGGAAAAAAGGCAGAATGGTACAGGGAAAAGRACCTTTGCCAACTATGCTCTCCTGCTGGTGAAGGTTGACTCAGTACATTTTAGAGGAGTTCTGGAGGGTAATGCCACCATGTAAATGTCACAAAGGAACCTGTTCTAATCAAGCATGTGAAAATGGAAGCAGTGGCCTCCAGCAGGGAAGAGTGGAAAGCAGGTGAAAATCCAGATAGGAACAATTCACAATACCCAGTCATTCTGAGGGAGGAGGCGGGCAGCTTATCTGTTCCCCAGAAGAACATCTCTTGAGAAAAATCTGGGTTTGGTTTCGTGCGGTTAGGTTTGTCATGTGTCGTCAACCGCAACAGAAAAGTGGGAGCAAACAGCCCTGGAGCAACCGGTACGATCACCAGACAGAGGAGGCCATGCCCCTGAGGGGACCAGGGAGAGGGAGGGCAGGCATGGGGAGCAGGTGGGACTTCAGCTATCGGCTGCACCTACCATCACCCAAAGCTGGAGCAAGGCCCCTCTCTAGAGTAGTGAAGAGGGAGAGGAAATCCATGACTGGGCATGCTCAGGAGAGAGGAGCCAAGGAGCAGGCCCCAAGTCACAAATCTAAGAAGTGGCTTTCTGCTTTGGTGTCTGTGCAGCTGCATATTTTATTGTCAGTTAAGAATATTGTCTAGGGAGAAGTGCTGGGTTAGCCTCATCCCTCTAGGTCATCCAAATGGTYTCATGACATGTGAACCGTGCCTAAACCATGAGAGGACCTGGGTTTTCCAAGACAGCAGTCAATTTGTTTAAGTCAAGACAAGAATTATTTTGTTACTTAGCCTGAAGAATTAGTGGTTTGGGGAGAAAAATCTTCTTCAYGAGCTCTGAGTCTATGTTTGTGTTAGTGAGGATATATACTTTAATGAAAAAAARTGAGCTGGGAGAATTGGCCCAGGATGGCCATTTCCATTAGATCTATCTTTGGTAGCAGCCAGACTTAACTCTACCTGAAAAAAATCCTGCCTGAGTCTTGGCATGACAGTTGAGGTGTGTGTTTATGTATGCATTTGKTTTTTTTGTTTGTTTGTCTGTTTGTTTTGTTGTGTACATATGCAATGTCTATTTGTTTAGTTTTTTGTTGTTGTTTCATTTTAGCAAATGAAGAAAAATATCATTGTCCATATTGATGAGCTTTGGGCTGAGTGTGAAAGAGATGAATGTTTCTAAAAGTTGTATATTTTCAATAATGTATAAAACAGTCTTCAGCAAGGCTAGAGGGAGAATATCTGGAGAATTTCAATTCAGTGAACCAAACTGCCGCACACTGCCCAGAACCTCCACCATGGCAGAAGTGTTTCTGGCTCTCTGCTGAGGACCCTGAAGGCTATACCTCCTGCAGGTTTCTTTTTTCTGTAGTGTGGCTCGATTAAATTGAGCACCGAGGGGAAAGGAGATCTCCCTCTAGCAGGTTACAAAGGTGACCATCATGAAAGCAGTTTGAAGTCATTAAGAACATCATATCATCCATCCACAATATTGACCTGTAGGGTTTATAGATAATCCATAATGATCTAGCAGTTTAGAGGCAGGAATTATAGTCCAGCTACCAACTTTTGGCATAAGCTTTGAAAAGTCATATATTTCTTGCTTGTTTCACATCTGTAAAAGTCAATGTAAAAACATTTTTGTGATTTATCTCACAAAATTATTAAGAGATTAAATTAAGACAAGGTCATTTAAACTTTCAACTATACTCTAATAATGAAACATTGCTATTGTATTTTTTAATAATCAAGGAGAAAAATATGGTTGATCAGTAGCCAACCTCACAACTTTTAAAAACATGTTGTGTAATGCAAGATATTCTTCCTCACACCTGCTATTATCACAAATGGCTGTTTTCAGAAAACAAAGGCCTTAGAAAATCCTAGTCTCATTGGCATGTAGCGATAGGTTACATCAAAGGAACTAGGATTTTCTACCATAAACTTATATAGGTGAGCACTTTGAAATCGATAGTAATTTCATCTGTGCATGTGCTATAAAACCAAGATGTCTTAAATGCAATAAGAGAACAAAGGGATCATTTGAAGTTTGGGGGATAGCTTGTGAATGCAAACTTTGCTTGGAGATGTTTTCTTCTATAATCAAGAAAAAAAAGGAAATGTAAATTTGTAGCAGGAAGAAAGAAAATGCTTATAAAGGTGTGTCCTTAGGAGACAGAATAGAGAAAACATTGGTCAAAGCCTGATTATGAGAAGGTACATGTTCACAAGCACAAAAAATTGAAATTTAGCTTTCTTTTTTTAAAATATTTTTTTAAATTGCCAATTGACCTTTACTTTATGTATTTATATGTGTTGCTGAGAATTGAACCCAGTGCCTTGCACATGCTAGGCAAGCGCTCTACCACTGAGCCACAACCCCAGCCCTAAAATTTAGCTTTCTCATGTATGGTTTCAAATAAAGGTAAACCCAAAACAGCAGTTGTGATGAASCAGGGAAAAAGGAAAAAGGAAATGACGACTGCTTTTGGAGGACTGCTCTGCAGGGAGGGGCTATCTTTTGTCCAAGATGTTTTAACTTTGGACAAGTTAGATGGATGGTGTACTAAAAGAAGCCAAAAGGCCAAATTCTTTAAGAAAAGCACAGCTCCCAGACTTTGGTTACAGTTTAAAATAGAAAAAAGATTTGCTTCTAGGAATACACATGGGTCTATGACTAATTCTGAGTATGCGTGTGCATGTGTGTGAGTGTGTAAGATTCTCTCTCTTCCTTCAGTGCACGTCCCCTTTTGTCCTCTTTTTTCCTAAGACTTGTCACAGTTGACTTTCTAATCTTTACAAAACAACATCTAATAAGGAAAAAYAAGTTGTCTGTTTAACGGCACGGGGTGCACTTCCCCAGCGTCCCACGGGGCTGATTCATCCTCATGGGCACATCCCTCTTTGACTTTGAACTAGAGGCAGAGATAGAAATTGTCTTCATCTTCTTTTTCTATAGGCTCGGTAGGAAATTTTTCTGTCTGTTTTGTTTTGTGCTTTATCCCTTCTGCTGTTTTCCAGAGTAGTAGGTGATCAAAGTTGCTGGTGGTTGGTTTTAGGTACTATAACCTTAAACTGATCTATTTAAGGTGGGGAGATGATGTACGGAAGGGAAGATGGGAGGGACAGGGGTATGCCAGCCCCTGTCGGCTGCTCAGTACTCTCTGTTCACAAGGCTGTTTGCTATGCGGGCCGCAGGCTTTGGGCCTTTGAAGGGTTGAATACCATCTTTTGATTTACCATGGTTGATGAGCAGGAAGATTGAGAACTCAAGAACACACATGAAAAGATCCAGCAGAAGAGAAAAACAAAACCTAAAATAACCGAACACATACATACACACAAACTAAAGAAAACCAAGAAACACAGTGACAACAGAAATCAAATGAGGTTGGGCAAGAGAAAGGGCATAGTGTTGTAAAAGCTGCAAATGAAAAGGAAACACACAAAAAGACATAACTAAATAAGCCACTGCTCAAAACAGTCCTCTGTTTACTAGAGATTTTAGAATTACAGCGTAGGCATTTTGCAAATATGAGGAGTTGACCTGACAGTGAATAGGACTGGTGTGGATTCAAAGTTCCACCTTCCCACCAGGCCTTCTTGAACTTGCCATGGTCTTAAATCTAGTACATTTGTCCCTCGTGTCATCCCTGGACCTTTAACAAGCTGCTCCACTGAAATCTTTATAAAGGAGTTCGGTATCCAAACACATACTACACAGGCAAATAAATCCATTAGCTTGGAAAGTTTGAACCCAGTTATAACACTAACCCTGTCAGCACTGGGCATTGACTTTCTGCTGAATGGAAAGATCAGAAAAAATGATTGGTGGGTTGTTTCTTCCAAAACCCAAGGCCCCCATTCTCCACTAAAGATCCATTAAAATCCAGTAAAGAGAGTAAATAGCAGGAGAAAATGTGAGGCCATCGAAGAATTTTCATGGTACTCATTCTAGGTGACTGTGGTCAAAGAATAGATCCTATCCCAAGAGAACTGAAGTCGTCATACTTTTTCAAATGTACTGTAAAATTGATATTCATTGTACAGTGGAATTTGTAGGTTACAATGTGAGGTCACAATCTTTTCTTAAAGGGCTGCTGAGAAGTGGTTAAGAGTGTTGGGAAGGAAAGTGAGGTTCATAATTAGGGGGCAGTCAGAGACTCTCAACTTTGGGAAACATATTTTCAACGAGACCAAACAAACATCTGACTTGTCTTTCAAGAAGAAAGAATCAGGAGACCTCATAATCTCTAGGGCTATCAGAATTCTTAGTCTCAATAATCTTCTGGAGCTGGACATGATGTGCTTCTCATCCTGCTGATGTCCTTAGTCCTCTTAAACCCAACCTTACATGTTGCCTCTTCTCCTGCCCCTTCTGTGCCCTTGGTGTTGACTGTTTTGAGGGGTGACCAAGGAATTGGACTTAATGGGAATATGATTGATCAAAAGATGGACCAAAGTAGCGTGTTTTACACAAAGCTAAACGATTCCAAAAAACCAAGAACGGAAACTTAGAAAAACAAATAATCTAGTAAAAGAAACCACCACTGTCAGAAACCAGAAATTGACATCAAAACCTCATGCAGAAACAAGGAGAAGGTTTTTGTTGCTGTTGGGTTTTATCCTTGGTCTATTAAACAAGAGGTGAGCAGCTAACTTTCAAGAAACAAACAAAGAATTCAATCAAACCAATGAAAATCAGAAAAGAAAGGGAAGACAAGCCCAAACAGAGTAGCAGAGGGTCCTTCATACGATACCTAAGTTAACCATGAGCTTGACGCGACCCCCATCGAGCTCCAGGCGCAGCGTGTCAGCGGAGTCCCTGGAGGTAGTAGCCACCAGGAGCCCGTAGGCTCGCTGGGACATGAAGCGGAAGGACACATCCTCAGCCTCAGTGTGCATGACCATGGGCATGATGATCTTCATGTACATGCTGCCGTCGTAGCTCAGGATGGACGCCTCTGCCAAAGAAGAATGGAGAAGGTTGTTAGCTTGAAGGATGCTACAGTCTCACATACCCCTTTGCATCCAGGCTGAGTAGAGAGGGCACCAAATTTGTAGCCAGGGGAAAAGTATTTGATCGACTTCTGTGGTTGCTGCCTTTTAACTGTGTGACCTTGGGCAGAACACCTAAACTCTGAGGCTCTATTTCCTCATCTGAAAAGTGCATATGACAGTATGGGTACCTGCCCTAGGATGCTCACAGACTTGCCAAGAGTATCAAATTAAACACTGGATGTGAAGGTATTTTGCAAAAGGGAAAATGCACCCACAAAGAGTAGTAATTGTAATGTTGGATGTCCTAGATGAAACACAGATCTAAAAAACAAAACTGAATCCCTGTAACTATTTTTACCGAGAGTAGGAGGAGAGCAGACATTTATAACCACTTGAGCAAGCAGGTATTGGCCATAGAGCTTCTAGAAGGAGGAATAGGCAACAGCATCAGGCTAGCGCCTAGACCATCCCTCATGGCCAGGCACTGTGAGAGGTGCTCAGACCATTCAAAGAAGATTGAGAGAGCTAGACCYAGAGCAACAACAATAAAAAGTTAATGGCACCCATCAGAAACTCATTTTGCTTGTGTTCAAATAGAACTTCTATAAGGAAGAAAGGAAACACTTATATTTGATGCATCCTTCAGTACTAGTATGATGTTTAGAAGACCTCAACCTCCACCCCTATATGACATCTCAAAGCTACAGTGTGGGTCCATTGTTACTGTTTTCAAACAAGAAAACCAAGACTCTTAGAAGGATATGTTATTGTTCCAAAATCACACAACGTGGGTTGTGACACAACATACCTGATATCAATTCTATTTTATAACCCATGATACTCATCGTGTAAAATTAAAATTTAATCATGCAATCAGCAAATATTTTCAGAGAACCAGGAAGCAACTACCATTTGCATTCACATGAAGCCAGCTTGTCACTGGGCTCAGCACCTGGCACTAGGTTCTTTATTAAATATTTGCTGTCAGACAATTGCTACTTGCATGTGCTGTGTTGAAAACACAGGTGAAACAAAGTCCTTGTTCTAAAGGTAGACATATCATGTACAAATAACTTTATAAACATAAAAAAATAGTTAAATGACAGAGGAAAGGTATAAAATGATGGTGATGGCATTCAGAGGAGAGTTTGAGCAAGTCTTGGGAGATGGGTGGCATTTGTGATGAAAGAAATGAAGGCATCACATTTGACAGCACATACTAGAGAGCACGTCTACAGACATAAAAGAAAGAAAGAAGGGGATTCTAAATAATTGCAAACAATTCAATTTAACGCAAACTTAAGGAATATATTTGGAGAAGTAGAGTTGGCCTTCTATATACATAGATTATACATCTATGGATTCAATCAACCTTGGGTTGAAAATATTTGTAAAAATTATATGTGTATGGGCTGGGGATGTGGCTCAAGCGGTAGTGAGCTGGCCTGTCACACGTGCGGCCCGGGTTCGATCCTCAGCACCACATACAAACAAAGATGTTGTGTCCGCCGAAAGCTAAAAAATAAATATTAAAAATTCTCTCTCTCTCTCTTTATAATTTTTTTAATTATAATATAATATATAATATAATAACTACACAGAATTTACAGTATAAATGGGAATATAAGCAATTGTGTGTACAGGAGAATATGTATGGTTATATGCAAGCACTCCATCATTTTATATAAATACTTGAGTATCTGTGGATTTTGGTATCCACTAGGGTTCTAGAGCCAATCTGCCATGGATACAGAGGAGAAATCATCTGTGACAGTAGTTACAGAGGTCATTTGAGATTGAATAAAATCAATGTGCTTTGGTGGACCCTGGAAAGTAAGAGAGTAAGAAATTTTGAGAAGATACTATGATTTCATTCATTTGTACTGTGGGTCAGGCACTCAGGTGTTGAGGACATAACAATGAAAAACAGAAACAAATACTCCTGACTGAAAGTACAGAAGAAATTAAAACAGGGAGAGACAGGAGGCAGATAGACCACATGAGGATCCTAAAACAGCCTGTGCCATCACCCCATTGCACCCTGCCCTACTTACACAACACACAAAAGGTCCTGAAAAGTAATGTAAAGGCACCTGCTCAAATTCCTGGAAAGCAATCATCTCTCAGGTGAAACCCAGGTCATGCTAATAGATGTGCATCACAGTTTACAAACTCTAAAGACGATCACAGATAAAAGTTGCAGGCATCATCACAATAAAAGGCATATCATGAAGATCTGTTCTTAGATGGGAAACATAATCTATATTTAATACATGCTCCAGATGTGAAAGAAACATGTTTGCTTAGTGGAAAAGCAGAATCAAAATAAGGTTAAAGATGGTAGCTAACATTTATTGAACTCCTGCTGTTTTCTTGGTGCTTTCTAGAACTTAACATGCATTAAGAAGTCACTTAGTCTGAGGGGGTTTTCAAGATGGCAGAATAGAGGCAGTTGGGTTCCTGGCTACTCTGTGACATGAAACCAAGAAAGCAGACAGGCAGCTTCTCCACAAGGTGGGTGAATGAAAACAAGAATTGTGTGTGTAGAGGGGACTTTAGTGGAATTTAAAACTGGAGTTTAAAGCATACCAGAGCCACAGGAGGTTGGATATATTAAAAATAATGAAAAAGTCCCCAGCAGCACAGCTGCTACTGCAGCCGGGGCCAAAGGCACCAGCCAGAGTGGTCCCTCCATGAACATAGTAGAGGGATAAGGGAATTAAAGGAACCTTAATTTGGGGGAGGCCTGAGGCCTGGGTATGGAGTGTTTAAAGACTAAGARTATTGCCTAACAAACCTGAAAGGCATGCTGCATGCCATCCTTGTGCAGGGAATGAAGCTGCCATGTCTCCAGGCAGTGTGGGGAGGACAAAGGAAGGAACCATTTTGCAGCCACAGTATGGGGCCAGCAGGTAAAGGAGCCAATTCCTGGCAAACCTGAGCTTGGCCCAAAATATAGGCCCAATAAACACACAATGCACAACAGAGTGTGCTTAAGTGACCAGAAGAAAATCAAACATGGACAGAGGTTCACACAGGGGACAACTGGTCACAGAAACCTGACTCTATTCCTCCCCTTCTAACCCAGCCTGCTTGTATGACCCGCTGCTGTCTTCCATGGATACCAGAATAGAAGAAGTGAAAGAGAATGAGTTTAGAATGTATGTCATTAAACTGATCTGCAAAGTAAAGTATAAGGAATGAAATCAGAAAGAAAATACAGAAAGCTAAAGATCACTTCAATATAGAGGCAGAGATTCTGAAAAAAAATAATAAAAAAACAAGTAGAAATCCTCTAACTGAATAAAACAATAAACCAAATTAAAAATTCAACAGAAAGCATCACCAACAGACTAAACCATTTGGAAGACAGAACCTCAGGCACTGAAGATGAAATATATAATCTTGAAAATAGAGTTGACTATTTAGAGAAGATATTAAGAAACCATGAACAGAACTTCCAAGAATTATGGGATAATGTAAAATGACCAAATTTAAGATTTATTGGGATAGATGAAGACATGGAAATACAAATCAAAGGAATGCACATTTTTTTCAATGAAATAATATCAGAAAATTCCCCAACTCTAAAGACTGAAATGGAAAATCAAATRCAAGAGGCAAATAGGACCCCAAATGGACAAAATTACAACAGATCCACACCAAGTTACATTATAATGAAAATGCCTAGTATACAGAAAATCTTGAAGACATCAGCAAATTTCTGGAGATATATGACCTACCCAAACTGAATCAGGAGGACATACAATTTTAACAGATCAATTTCAAACAATGAAATAGAAGACACCATCAAAAGCCTACAAATTAAGAAAATCCAGGAGTAGAAGAGAGATTCTCAAATTCTACTAGACCTTCAAAGAATTAGCACTAATTCTTTTCAAATTATTCCATGATAAAAAAGAGGGAACCCTTCCAAACTCATTCTAAGAAGTTAGTATCACCCTAATATCAAAACCAAAGAAAGACACTTCAAGAAAGAAAACTTCAAACTAATATCCCTGATGAACATAGATGCAAAAATTCTCAATAAAATTCTGGCAAATTGCATACAAAAACATATTTAAAATCTCACCACAGTCAAGTGGTATTCACCCCAGGGATGCAAGTTTGGTTCAACATACAGAAATCAATAAACAATAGACTTAAAGACAAGAATCATATGATCATCTCAATAGGTGCATAAAAAGCATCTGACAAAATATGGCACCACTTCATGTTCAAAACAATAGAAAAACTAGGGATAGTATAAACATACCTCCACATATTAAAAGATATATATGCTAAACCCAAGGCCAGTATCATTCTAAATGGAGAAAAATGGAAAATATTCCCTCCAAGAACTGGAATAAGATAAGGATGCCCTCTTTCACCACTTTTTTCAACATTATCCTTGAAAATTTAGCCAGAGCAACTAGAGAGAAGAAAGAAATTAAAGGGATAGGAGTAGGAAAAGAAAGACTCAAACTATCACTATTTGCCAATGACAAGATTCTAAATTGAGAAGATTAAAAAAATCCACCAAAAAACTTCCAGAACTAATAAATGAGTTCGGCAAAGTAGCAGCATATAAAATTAACACTCATAAATCCAATGTGTTTATATACATCAGTGATGAATCCATCAAAATAGAAAATAGGAAAACTACCCTATTCACAATAGACTTAAAAAAATGGGAAATCAATCTAATAAAAGAGGCAAAAGACCTCTACAATAAAAATTACAGAATRCTAAAGAAAGAAATTGAAGAAGACCTTAAAAGATGGAAAGATCTCCCATGCTCTTGGATAGGCAGAATTAAAAGTGTCAAAATGGTTATACTATGAAAAGCATTATACAGATTTAATGGAATTTATATTAAAATTCCAATAACATTGTTCATAGAAATAGAAAAAGCAATCATGAAATTCATTTGGAAAAATAAGAGACCCAGAATATTCAAAGC